ACGAACAGCCACGAAACCTGGAGAACGCTTTTGGAGGTTGCCGTGAACTACGTACACAGGCCCTCACAACAATGAACTTGACGGGTCCCCATCAGCGAGCCTGCCAGCACCCAAGGACATTCCGTGCCTTGAACAAAGAAGCAGCCGAACACGGACTCAGATTCAACTGTTCGCCCGCTTAGCTTGACGATCTTGGCCTCTCGGACTGCTGCAGATCATGCACACTTGGGGAGGTCACGGTCATGCGTCATGGCCTGGCGCAACTCATTGACATAGTTGTCGTCTATCAACGCCAGCCAGGAAGCAAGCACCTCGCACCACCGATGGCACTCCTCTAGCTCTCTCCACGCCTTTTCCCATCGACACATTGTCGATGAGCGGCAACGCGGCAGAAACTTCTCTGCACGGTTACTTCCAACATGCAGGTTCTGTGATGGCGCCGGTAGGAGCAGAAGCCTTTGCCGTGGGACTTCCAGCAGTTGCTGCACTTGAAGCACCCCAAATGGGTTGCTCACAGCTGCTAACAATGCTTCCTGCTCACGTCTCCTTCTCTCGTGGCCTCCATCTTTGCCACCAGAACTTGAAGTGTCTGTTGCTGATTCTGCATCATCACTTTTGCTGACTCTGCATTATTTGAACATCTGCTGGAGTTGAGGGTCAAGTCCAACGATCGTGGCGGGTCCTCCCGCTGAACCAGAAGCTTCAGTGGTTGTGTTGGCGGTTGTTGCCCGTTCTGGGCACCACCGGGGCCAAACAAAGCTTCGTCATCTTCGTTGTCAGGCACAGGTCTCAAACATCGGTATTTCTCGAGACCTGCCCAACTACACCTAAAGCAAGCAAAAAAAAACGTGAGATGGCGCTCTGGGGCATTTCGGGAGTTAATCACCTGGACGCTCGGCCGTGTCGGGGTGGCACCACGCAGACGCAGGATGTTGGCACAAGTCGTGCTTTCAGGGCCCAAGTGGCTGGCAGCCTTTGCTGGAAACCCAAAGCAAGCGCGCAAATTGCAACTCCATGGCGGCCAAGAGGGCACATAGCTGATCACGCAGAGTCCAAGTCTGCACGTGGCTCCCAGTTCAGGGCGTTCGAGTGCTCTCATGTAAGGGTCTTGTGATCGGCGGTTTCGAAGCGCACCGGCGTAGATCAACTAAAACCGATCGTTCTGGCTACGATCCTGGAGCGCTCACCGCATGGGAATTACACAAAACCTAAACCCTGAATCCTTACAGACTTCTGATGTCGGATTCTTTGGGTCCTAGTTGCTCCGCAAGGTACAGGTCGGAAGATCGAACTCAAGTGTGTCGAGACTCAGAAACAACGCGCCCTCGACGCCCGCTGTGTTTTGAAAGCCGGCCAAATCCTTGGAAGTGAAACGCTGGAGCCTGGCAATGCTGATGCAGCTTATCTGGGAGGATACGGCCTTTTGCATCAAGCCTCGTGGTGGAGTGCTCACGCCGGTTCGTTGGAACCTGCGAGCTTAGGTGCCGTGAACGGCTCAAGCGGTTCATGCACTTCTTCCCTCCGTATTGGCGATACTGATCGGCTGCGGCGACGTCCAACTTCTCAGTGTGAATAATATAGAAAGTAGGCTTATGGGGGGGGTTTTTTTTGAGCCAAAAAAGCGCTCCAAAACGCTCCAAAATGGCTCTATTAAGTGAGAGAGGTGTGAGAAGGTGTCCATTGCTAAAAAAAAAAACGCTCAACTTGGCTCCAAAACAGGACCTTCAACCTGAGCAAGGAGAAGGTGTTCATTGCTGAAAAAAGCGCTCAACATGGCAAAAACAGCACCTTCGACCCGAGCAGGCTTATGGTTTTTTAAGCCAAAACGCTCAAAAAAAAAACGCTTTCTTCGACCGGAGCAGAATCGCAGCGCATGTATTTTTGGTGGAAAACGCTCAACTTGGCTCCAAAACAGTACCTCAACCTGAGTAAGTCTGCAGGGAGAAAGGTTTTAAAGCGGAAAAAAACGCTCAACTTCGCTGCAAAACCAGTCCCTTCTTGTCAAAAAACGGCCCATTTATGATTCAATAATGACTCAATAATGACTCAATAATGATTCAAGATGGACTCAATCATGACTCAAATGATTCAATAATGACACAACAATGCAGGGCAGCAGTGGCAGGGCAGCAGAGCGGAGTGGCAGCAGTGGCAGGGCAGCAGGGTGGAGGGCAGGGCAGCAGTGGCAGGGCAGCGGTGTGGCGGAGTGGCAGGGCAGCAGTGGCAGGGCAGCAGGGCGGAGTGGCAGGGCAGCAGCAGTGATAGGGCAGCAGGGCGGAGTGGCAGAGCAGCAGCAGCAGAGTGGCAGAGGGGCTGCAAAGGTGGCAGGGCAAGCTGTGGCAAGGTAGAGTCGCCACAAGGTCGCCACAGGTCGCCACTGGGTCGCCACAGGGTCGCCACACGGTCGCCACTGATTCCGGAGTTCGCTCGATTTGATTCCGGGGCTCACTCGGTTTGATTCCGGCAGGGCAGCAGTGGCAGGGCAGCAGGGCAGCAGTGGCGGCAGGGCGGAATAGTAGCGGAATGGCAGAGCAGCAGGGCGGAGTGGCAGAGGGTCACAGCAGCAGGGCGGAGGCAGAGCAGCAGTGGCAGAGGCATGGCAGCAGTGCGGAGCGGGCAGGGTGGCAAGAGCAGTTGCATGGCAGCAGCAGTGCGGAGCGGGCAGCAGTGGCAGAGTGGCATGGCAGCAGCACGGAGCGGGCAGGCAGTGGCAGAGTGCAATGCAGTGTGGCGGAGTGGCAGGGCAGCAGGGGCAGCAGTTGGAGAGCACACAGGTCGCCACAGGGTCGCCACAGGGTCGCCACAGGGTCGCCACAGGGTCGCCACAGGGTCGCCACAGGGTCGCCACTAGGTCGCCACTCGGTTTGATTCCGGGGCTCACTCGGTTTGATTCCGGGCTGGCAGGCAGCAGTGGCAGGGCAGCAGTGGCAGGGCAGTGGCAGGGCAGCAGTGGCAGGGCAGCTTAGGCGGAATAGCAGTGGCAGGGCAGCAGCGGCAGGGCGGAGGCAGGGCGGCAGTGGCGGTGTGGCAGGGCAGCAGTGCAGAGTGGGGGTGGTAGGGCAGCAGTGGCAGGGCAGCAGTGGCAGGGCAGCAGTGGCAGCGTCGCGTTGTAACCGCGTTGTAATCGCGTTGTGACCGCGTTGCGACCGCGTTGTGACCGCGTTGTGACCGCGTTGTGACCGCGTTGTGACCGCGTTGCAGGCAATGACAAGGCAGCAGTGGCATGGCAGCAGGGCGGAGGCAGGGCAGCAGGGCGGAGGCAGGGCAGCACTGGCAGGGCAGCAGTGTGGCGGAGTGGCAGGGCAGGGTCGCCAAAAGGTCGCCACAGGTCGCCACTGGGTCGCCACAGGTCGCCACTGGGTCGCCACAGGGTCGCCGCAGGGTCGCCACTAGGTCGCCCTCGCAGACCCCAAGTATCTCTGTTCTGAGACGCTGCTTGCGAATCGACCGTCAGCGTCGATGGGATCAGACCCGGCGCTAAAGAAAGAGAGACGTGAAAAGATGGCTGAAGCCGATAGAAGACGTGAGATCATCAGGCAGGTCTACACGAACCCTAGGACAGGTTTCGGGAACCTAGATCAAACTCTGCGGCAGGCTAGAGCTCGCGATCAAACAATCAGCCGAGGTGACGTGCGCCTGTTTCTTAACAACCTCATCGTGCGCCAAGACAGACCCGAAAGAGGGCACAACGGTTTCGTGCCTCCAGAGCCGATGTTTCAGCTGCAAGTGGACCTCGCTGATATGACGGCTTTCGCCCAAGGTCCGTACAAGTACATGCTCGTAGCGATCGACACTTTCAGCAAGAAGCTAACGGCAATACCAATGGCCAACAAAGACGCTGCCACCGCATCCAGAGCATGGGATCAAGTTGTCAAGGATCTCGGCATACCGCTAACGGTTTACAGCGATGACGGCAGCGAGTTCAAGCGTGAATTCAAGCAGAAGCTGGACTACTTCGACATCGACAAAGTAGTTTCTAGGGGGCATGCTACGGTAGTCGAACGAGCCATCAGGACCCTCAAAGAAGCACTCATCCGCAGGCTTACAGAAGGAGTGGGCAAAAGGAACCAATGGCATCTATTGCTACCCGATATCCTAGCGCAGTACAATGAAAACCCTCACTCGACCACAGGCTACGCTCCAGACAAAGTGTATTACGATCCTGAAACTGCGGACAAGGCCTTGACCAGGATGAAGCGCAACGTCAAGATGAACGCGGGACCGAGGCCTCAAATAGCGGTCGGAGATTTAGTTCGGGTTAGGGTTAAACCTATCGAGAGTAGGGGCGCTTACAGGGTTACGGAAGTAGCCTGGAGCGAACGAGTCTACAGAATCGCCAGAATCGAAAACACAGACGGCGGACCCTACTTCTTCCTCGAGGGCTGGACCGGAGATAAGCTCGTGCGACGAGACCTGAGGAAAGTGGACTCCGAGGATCAAAGACGCAGATTCCCCATGCAATCGAGAGAGCAACGTGGAAGACAAGCCGCGCAAAACCGCAGACTACCCGCCCCGGGTCCCATCGCTCCACCCTGAAACTAAGCGCCGAGCCTCAAAGCGATGTGGAAGAAGTCGAGAATGCCTGCCGATGCGAAACAGCTCCGACATGCTCAGAAAGCGTGGCAGATGATATCGCTCGACGACGAGCTCAAGCAACGATCAAGCGCGGTCCTGGGCTTAGCCGCTCGCCATCTATCAAAGGAAGAACTCTATTTTCACGCCTTCCTCTCAGCGGTGCCCATCTGGAGGGTAGTTTCTGTAGCACATCTCGCCCAAGCAGCGGACATGCATGTTCCCGGCGCGACGTTCGCACGCGGGCAACGCGTCAATGCGAGCAAGGGGAAATTAACTTGACAAACCCTTTACGCCCCCTAAACCCGACCTAACTTTCAGGAAGGCTCGCAAAAAAAGCATCACCTGCTCGAACTCCTGTACGGCGCTGAAAAGGCTTTGAGTTATCCGACTGTTCTACTCGGAAACCCCTGTACAACTAAAACTCTTCAGGACGATCGGAGGTAACTGGTGTTGTGCAACTTGCCCTTGAACTGCCCATCGCTCATCCTCTCGCGATGCAAGAAGCCAACCTCGCCATCCACGAAGCCGAGGATGTGGTTCATCAGGTGGAAGGCCGCCACATCGGAGCGCCCCTCGAAGCCGCGCTCGCCTCTTTGCAGCGCCGCCCAGCACGCTGCCCAGACGTCGTTGTTCTTGAAGTGCCCGAGCGGTCTGGAGCGATGCGAGTCGAGCTGCCAAGCCTTCGTGTTCAGTGCTGTGAGGCCTCGCTTCTGGATCTGCACGACCTCGTTCACGTGATGGCGACAGCCCAGGCGACAGAACTCGACCTTGTGCTCGCCACCGCTCTCCAAGATGGCTTTGTAAAGGTCGTGGTCCAGCTTCTTGCGCTCGCTCTTCGGAACGCCCTTGGCCCGCTCCTTGCTCTCGCCTTCTGTCTTGGAAAGCGAGTACATCTTCGGCGCCAGACCGACCCACTCGACGCCGTAGTGAGGAGCCAACTCGTCCGAGAAGTTGCCGAGCTCGCCAGCGCGACGAAGCGCCAGCTCTCGACTTTCCTCACACAACGGAGCCAGGTGCTCCTTCAGAGCGTCGCCCTTCGCATCGCCGGCCACGTCGAAGAAAGGAGCGGCGCCTCGCAAGTTGGCCTTAGCCAAGGCGATCTTCGGGTCTTGATCACTGAAGATCTGCAGGACGCTGCTGTCGGTGTCCCCACCAAGCCATCTCACGCGGCTCTGTTCGGGCTTCATGTCGCTCGAGTCATCCGCCGGGTCGATGCTCTTGAGAAGATCTCCGTCGAAAACACGGCGGATCCCGTAGTGCGCCTTCATCATCAGCAAGCGTGACTCCTCCAGCACCTTCCACCCTCCTTGGAGAAACGATCTCAAGACCTTCGCGTTGCCGGCCTTCTGCACATCGACGAAGGCCAAGAAAGCATGCTCCTCCACGATCTGCGGGTGGATGTCGAGCATGGCGGGCCCAGATGCGGCCTTTTGGAACTTCATGCCGTCTGTGTACACACGGGTGGTTCGAAAGCTTTCTTGGTTTTGCACCATTTTACCGTATTGCACATTGCCCGTGAGTTTTTGAACTTCCGCCTGCAGCTTGCGGCCGCTCTTCTTGTACTCACGACGGGTCTCCACGGTCTGGCGAACAAAGCTCCTCATGAATGCCCTGCAGCGAAAGACCACGCAGCTGCTAAAATCGAAGATTCGAACGTGGAGGTGCTCGGCGATGAACTTGAGGTAACGGATGTCCACTCCTTCCCTGACGTGCTTCCCCAGGTAAGGAACCAACTTAGGAGTCTCCGACACGACCTGGCCTTCCTGGATGAGAGACTGCGTGTAAGGACTGAGCTGCGATCTCTTCACGGGCATCTTGCAGACAGGAGCCCAATCAACGCAAGAGTGGCGAAACCAGGGAACATCGTACGTCACCTCGACCATGTAGCAAGCCTCCTCGTCGTCCCGTTCGTAGTCCACACGGTCAAAGAGCACGTCGAGGTAGCGCAGCCTCTCCTTCCTGGACGTGGGCAGCTCGACCCACTGACCGCCGTCGACTGGTAACGGCTTCTCCATGATGGAAGGATACATGCTGTTCACGTCGTAGAAGAGAATCCACGACTGCTCTCGAGCGGGATCGAAATCAGGCAGCATAGGGTGGTTGGCCGCAGCAAACGGCTGAGCGATGTGCCCGAGGCCTCCTCTGATGTTCGCTTTGGTCAGCTCGTACACCCTCCGATCGGTCATGAGCCCGAGACCGAGTTCCTGACGAGGGCAGCACTTCCGCAGCATGGCGTCGTGACTCGCCGATGCGTGCGTGACGTACTGACAAGGGTCGAGCTGGAAGTGCTCCCAAAACGTGTCTCGATACCGCTCCATCACATCTCCCAATGCGAGGTCTGTCTGCAAATACGTGTCGTGAAATGCACCGAAGCTTTCGAACGAAGAACTCGACGATCTGCTTGACGGTCTCATATTTCTCCTCGGAGCACGCCTCGCCGGTGAGCGAGTTGTCGTAGGCCTCGCGAGGAAGCAAAGCAGGCCACGACCAACAAGCCGGATCGCAAAGAGCGTCGAATGGCATCGGTATTTTTTTGAGCAGCAACTCCCAAACCTTGGCCCGACGCTCGGACGTGCTCAGCTCCGCCTCCGCGAAGATGGGGTGGCGATGCGCCAACAGGGGAAACGCCTCGCTGGGATTCGAGCAGCTCGCCTTGCAGTCTTCGATCAAAGAGGCCAAGCTCGTCGGGAAAACGTTCAAGGAGTCGAGGAAACGCAGCGGTCCGAAAGACAGCATCAAACACTTCTCCCCGCTTTTCACCAGAGCGCCCAGCTTGATTTTGGAAAGGTCGCAACGCCAGGGATCGTAGCAGGTGTCGTCGTCCTCCTCCTCCTCGTTAACATCGCCCGAATCATCCGCTGATTCCGCTGCTCCTCCGAGGAGCGAGGCGATGTAGTCTTCGTTGCGCTCGTAACCCTTCTCGTGAGCCAGGAAGCGGAGCAAATAGTGAAAGTCGAACGAAGCCCCGTTGTGCATGTAGACGGGAATGCTTGTGGGCAGGCGTATCCCCAAGTTGCACGTGTTGCAAGCCGCGGCCTGGAACCTGCCAGTGCCGTGTTCGTGGTGGAGCACTTTGCGTTTGCTCCTGTCACTAACGTCGAACTGCACCCCGCAAATCTCGCACCTCTCGACGTAGTAGAAATGGCGTTGCAGCTCCTCCTGAGTCAGGCGACAGGGTGCGTTCGTGCGGATCCGCCACTCTCGGTACTCCTTGGCAAGCGCCAGAAGACAACGGAGGAAACACTCCACGATGCCAAACTCGCCAGACTCCTGGGTAGCCCGCTCTAGCCGGAGTCGATGTTCCGGGGGGATTTGGAAACCAGAGCGTCCGACGGCCATGTAGGCGAACGAGGCGACACGATCCTGTTTGGCTAGAACGTTCTGTCCGGAAAGAAGCTGAGGAGGCTTGGTGTTGAAGGTTTCGAAATCTGCGTAGCAAACACAGGGGTGGAAGGAAGCTGAAGGACCTGCTTTGTAGTGGAGAGTAGCGGTCTCTCTCCCCGGCATTTCCATCTTATCCGCCACACGTTTGCCCGGATCCTGCGAACAAATCCTTCCAGACAAGTGCCTCCCGAGTGCCTCCGGACTCTTGAAGCTGGACATACATCGATGACACCTGTTCATGGAAACGTGGGTGTTCGGACGCTGGCTCTCCGGGAACGAGGAGCTGCGGCTGCTCGAGAGCATGTCGAAGTTATATATGAGGACGAAGTGGCCATCGTGAAGAAGTAGAAGCACCGTCCGCGTCGCCTGAGCCTCCGACGAAGGGGAGCGCACCGGCATGAGAAAGTAGAAGTTTTCATTTACCCACGGCACTCGCGACCACTGGTACACATAGATCTCCACCAAGCCAGTGTTCCCCAGCTCAAACTTCTCGATGTCCTCGAAGGTAACGCCTTTTCCTCCCGGGAGCATGCTGAAGTCGATGATTTGTCCGTCCACATAAACGGCGGCGGGATCCGAAAGTCGCATCCTCTTGCTAGGGCGTCCGCTCGCGAGGTTGTAGAAAGGCCGCCCTCTGCACTCGGAGACCTTTTTGCGATACTCATTGCCCCAATCGCGACAGCCCAGGAGATCGGCCATCACGCAGTAACGGAAACACAGGTTGTCGGCGTTCTTGGGGGACCAGAGCCCCTTCTTGCCGTGCTTCAAGAGCTCCGGCAACTCCTTCCAACAGCCTCCGGCGAAGTTCGCACCAGGCGCCGCAGGAAGCTGAGCGAGCTCCCGGCTCGGCGTCGTGAAGATCTGCATGTCGAGGATGCCTTCGAACTTCTGGAGCGAATTGTGGAACCTTGCGTGTTCCAGACGATCTTCAAGAGTCCTCCGAGCCAGAGTCACGATGTAACGACGAAGCCTCTCGTCCGGATCAGCCAGCGGACGAACCAGCGAAGGCACGGTGGCGATGCGACGTTCGCTGTAAACGATCTCCCGCTCCCCAGTCGCGGGATCCACGACTTCCTCCGAAAGGCGGATGCGCAGGATGATCTTGACCATGAAGGGAAGCTGTGTGACCAGCAGGTCCTGCAGAGAACCATACGCCCGTGTCAGACTCTCCACATTCAAGTACTGACCAGGCGGAGGATCCAAGAAGATTTGACGCATCCAGAAGGTGTTTTGCCGAGGATTCAAGCTTCGAACCCTAGCCGCTGCAGGAGGAGCCTCCACGACTCGAGGCTGGTCGAGAGGCACCGCCCTCTGATGGTTCATGAGCAGCAAGAAGGCTTCCGCCATGACTGAGAATGTTTCCTATGCTAATGACAAAAAAAAATACCCATCCAGCTGCGACTCTAGGTTCACTGAAAGCCTCGAGAACCTCGTTAGCATCATCCCTCACATGACGTTCGACGGTCATCCTGAAGAAAGCTTGGGGCAGCGCAAAGCGACCATCAAAGCATGCAAGCCACTCAGAGTTAAGCACACTCTCAGCGCGACGACGAGGGCGTTAAAGCAGCAACAGAGGCCTCGAATCGTCGAAGGCACCGAAGAGAGTCGATGCGAAAGCCTGGGCATGGTACACGCTTCTGGAACGAACCCGGACCCTCGAGCTCGTGGCACGCTTATGAAGGTTCACAGGGTCGGTTATAGACTCAAACACACCTTCATTCAGGACCCGTGAAAAGGAAACCTTCTGGGACCTCAAACAGGCCTCCTGGGACCTCGAAGGGGCCTCCTTGAACCTCAAAGGGGCTTCATGTCCATACAAAGGTCCCTTTTTGTGGGTCCCAACACGGCCCCTTTTCGGGACCCACAAAACCGCGCGTCAAAACCGCCTTTTCTGGGACCTCTAAGGGCTGCCATGGTTCCACAAAGGTCCTTATTTTTGCGGGTCCCTAACACAACCTTTTCCGGGACCCACAAAACTGCGCATCAGAAGGCTCCATGAGCTCACGAAACCGACCCCGATGAACCCTTATAGGCATGCTCACCAAGACCTCCCAAGCCCGAAAAAACCACAACTGAGCATCGCCGCAAGAAGATCGGACTGATGTCGAAGAAGGTATACCTGGCGTCAAGGAATGCTGACAGATCACACCCCAGAAGCGATTCGAATGCGCATGCACCAAGATCTAGGGACCGAAAAGACAGGACAAACGCTCATGTACATTCTCTTACCGCGTCAAGAGGATCTCGGTTTGTAGAGGCTCGCTCGTTCTAATTTGAAGGGCGAGCTGTCGCTGTACACGGCTACGGGAAAGCTGCTTACATGAGCCCGAGCAGTTCCGTGGAAAGGGGCGAAGGCCCCGCCGGGTGCCACAAAATCACTTCTCAGATTTGAATGTGAGTGGCGCCCTGCTAGTACTGTAGCCTCAGGATCAAAGGACTCGCCTTCTAAGAAGTTTGCCTAAGAACATTGTTTGAGCCTGAGGGCCAAGTCGGGTCTTACGCCTGTGCCAAACGTGGCCCGAAAGATGGCTCTCAAAATGGGAGTGGCGAATCATGCTACGAGCCAGCGGTGACTCAAACACGCGTAGGGATCCAGAGCCAGGCTGGTCAAGCAATGACCCGGCTAACGACTCCGAAAAAGCATCAGGAATCAGAGGCAGCCGAACACGCTCAACTATGTACAAGAGCAGACAAAAAGTAAGAAGCTCAAATGTTAGCCTCACCACGTTGACCACCGAATAGCTGACTCATCCGACCGAACAGGCTCGAGGAGGCCGCCTGCCGCGCCGCCTCCGTCGTCTCGCCCTCCGCGCCAGCACCGCACTTTTTCTTGTTCGAGCCCTTCGCGGCCTTCAGCTCGGCATTCACGTCGTCCAGCTCAGCCTTCTTTTTGGCCTTCTTCTCGCGAAGCTCCTCCACCGCGGCTTTCTTGGCCGCTCGCCTCTTCTTCTCCGCGGCTTTCTTAGCCTCGCGAGTCTCCTTATCCGCGACCTTCTTAGCCGCCTTCGCCTCCAAGTCCTCCTTGCGCATCCTCTGGCGCTCCAGCTTCTCCGCCTTCTGCTCCTCCGTCTGTTTGGGCTTCTCGCGCTTGCCCTTTGCGGCTTCGTTCTTGTGATCGCCCTCGGCAGTCTCCTCGCCGTCGCCCATCGCCTTATTCTTCGGCGCTCGCTTGCGATCCTTCTTCTGGATGGCATCCAGCAATCTGGCCTCCGTAGATGCGATCAAATCTCGCGTTTCCTGACCATCCGAACGGGTAGCCTGGATGCTGCGATCGGTCTCGGCAGTCTGGTGCTTCATCAGCTCCTGCTGCCTTTCAAGCTCAGCGCGCTTCTTCACGCCGAGAATATGGCCCCTGCGAGTCTTGTTGCTCTCGAGCTGCATGCGAATCTTGTAGGCCTTGCTCTTGGCTGACTCCGGCATGGCTGCGGGCTTTCACGGCTATACGATGTCACGAATTTCGAGCTTCAAATCGCTTCAGGTGGCTGCAAACATCAGACTCCAAGCGTGGCAGCGTCAAACCCAGTCAAGAAACCCGGCGAAAGCCTTAAAATCCCTTTAAAAACCATCCACGGTCCTGCGCTTGGAAGACGATGCCGGTGATGGTGTCGTTAGCCTGGGAAGGAGAAGGGTCCGGGGTTCCCGGGAGGAGAGGCGGGGACACGAGCCGCTCTAGATTACGGGCGGGAAAGCAGCGCAAGGCCCTCCTGTGCATCACCATTCCTAGCTGCACTCCTAGCGAGTCTGTGCCGCACTACGGGTGCCTGGCGATCGAAGAAAGGTTCGGACCTGACAGCAAGGATAGGGGCTCGGAGTCCCCGGGACGGATGCCTACAAACACGAAGCAAGCGCAAGAAAACAAAGGCACACTCGAACTGTCTACGAGCACTCTTCATTAAGGACTCCCAGTGCAGAACTGCGGGGGCACGGCGCAAGAAGGCTCGAAGTCCCGCGGAGAATAGACCTGGCCACAGAGAGGGCCCGGGGTTCCCGGGAACAAAAATCGGGAGGCAGAAGGCACTCTAGCTTTACGAACGCGGGTAACAGAAACCTGTGAGCGCATGGATACTCGCAAACATACCTGCAAAGCAATCAGCACAACCACAACCCCTCGAAATCCGAATAACCTTCTGAGGATAAGCGCGCGGCTGTGAAGAGGACCCAACGTGTTGCTGTTGCTTTGCCGCTAAATGCTGTCTGTGCCACTAAGTGTTGACCATGCCTGTGCTGCGTCTAAGCTGTGTATGGCTATGACTACCTGTATGACGCATAAGCCGTTAAGTGTTGTCTATGTTGCGTGTCTATGCTGCGTGTCCATGCCGTGTGTCGTCTAAGGCGGCCTTCGAGGAGCGAGCGCGGGGCGCAAAAAAGATCACACGGGGGCACTGGGTCGGTGGACCTAAGGGTTAGGGACGCGAGGCACTCGCAGGTCAGTCGGGAATCAAAACCTCCATCGGGGGCCCAAATGGTTGGGGTACCCTGGACAGAACCCAAAACAAACCCCGGCGAAAACACTTTAGAAAAATCGCTACTGCAAAAGTCAGCGAAAACGAGCTAGAATACCACTACTAAAATACAAAAAAAAGAACGAACACAATGAGCACCAGCGAACGTGATGAGCATCAGCGAGCATGATGAGCATCATACTTAGAAGGGGCACATTAGCGCGACCGGCTCCTTGAGCATAAGGTCCGTGACTTCAAACAAGACACCGCACGCGTTCGTCATGAGCCAGAGCTGTCGCAGTTCGCACTTTACCTTACACTCCCTGCCCGCGAGGTTCCCTGGATCCTTCACAACCTCGCCTAGCGCGCCCCAGATGCGCACACGCTGCCAATCCATCTTCACCCTCAGAAAGGAACCGCCCCGGGAGTTCGCCTTAATGCACGATTGCAATCGCTCTAGGACCTCCGACTGTGTTAAGGACTTGCCGAAGATTCGGCCGTCCGTGGTCGTGAGGTCGGAAACACTTCGAGCTAGATGTCGTTCGACCTCCTGAAGCTGACTCTTCGTCCCCTCGTCGAGTTCGAGGCAGAGGTCCACACGCCTAGCCTCCGGGTCATTGAAGGCACTCGGGTGCCAAATGATCTTCTGCCAATCGCTGGAAGTCCAAACCGGCGGGCTGCTACCCTGTCCGCGAAGGGGGAAGAACTTCCCGCCCCGAGCATTGAATGTCAAATCGCCGAGTTCGATAGCCAGGCTGCAGGGTTTGCTCTGCGTTTCAGGCTTCTCGCTCATTTTCTTGCCCTAAGAAAAAAATGCTGGTCCACGCACGCGAGGCCTCGCCGCTGACGAGCGGGGAGTGCCTCTGCGTTAACCTGCTGATCCTAGGAGCAGTCGCATGCCTTTGGCTATTTTCGTGGCCAAGAACAAATGCCCCGGTTGCTGGAGCTGTTCAGTGGGACGGGCAGCATCGGCCGTGCCTTCGCGGCTCGTGGGTGGCTGGTAACGAGTCTTGACAGCAACCCAAAGGTCGACCCCACCGTTTGCTGCGACATCCAGCAATGGGACTACAAAACCTTCGAACCCGGGCATTTCGACATGATCTGGGCCTCGCCCTGTTGCACCGAGTTCAGCATCGCCCTCAAGAAGCGCCCCCGCAACCTGCCGGTCGGGGACGCCCTGGTGCTCAAGACGTTCGAGATCATCGACTACCTCAAGCCCAAGTGGTGGGCCATCGAGAACCCGAGCACCGGGCGCCTGAAAACCCGCCCCTACATGCAAGGACTGCACATGGACCGGGTCACGTACTGCAAGTACGGCTTCCGGTACAAGAAGCCCACCGCGGTGTGGCACAACCTGCCCTGGACCCCCTCCCAGGGGCCCTGCCGCAAGGGCGACCGCTGCGAGGCCTTCCAAGGCACCCGGCACCCAGAGGCCGCACAGCGAGGGCCCACCAAGGGGCGGAAGGGGAGCAACTCGCGGGACCAGCTCTACTCCATCCCGCCTGCGCTGTGCGACGAGATCGCCGCGAGCGCAACACTTGGGTTAAATGGGCAAGGTGCGTCTCTTCAAGACGCCTGAGTACTCCGTCAAGCAGCCGCCTGACCCCGTGGTTTGCAAGCCCCCCGCCAACGGTATTTTGTGTGCCCCATCTGCAAGCGGAAAGACGGTCCTCCTTGTGAGCATGATTTTGGAGCAATACCGGGGCTGCTTCGAGCGCATCTTTATCTTCTCGCCCTCGGTGGAGGTCGACTCTGCCTGGCAGCCTGTCAAGGATTACATCCGAGACGAGCTGGGCGTGAATACGGACCGGGAGCAGTGCTGGTGGGAGGATTGGGACGAGGGGGCGCTGCGGAAGATCATCGCGGACCAGAAGCGCATCACCCAGAAGAGCAAGGAGCTGGGCCTCAAAAAACTGTACTCGGTCTTGGTAGTTTTGGATGATCATGCCGATAATCCAGCTGTGCACCGCAAGACGGGAGATGGCGTTTTGGACACTCTGTTCATCAGGGGCAGACATTTTTGCATCAACACCTGGGTCTCGACCCAGAAGCTGCGTCTTATGAGCTCCGCCGTGCGGGTCAACGTGATGTTCTACTGCGTCTTCCGGTTGCGAAACCAACTGGAGCTGGATGCCTTGGTGGAGGAGCTGAGCGCCATGCTCCCGAAAGAAACCCTCTACGCCATGTACGAGGAGGCCACCAGGGAGCCCTACAGCTTCTGGTTCGTTAACCTCCGCGCGCCCAAGGAAGACATGTTTTGGGTACGCTTCGACCGGAAGTTCTTGCTAAATGGGGACGCTCCTGAGCCAGATGGCGGCCAAGTTGTTGGGGGGAGGCCCGATGTGCGAAAGTGAGTGCAGCAACATAAGGTGCTGCACCAGCACGCAAGGCATCTACGACCCCAGCCACTGGCCGCCACCAGACAGGCCCCGGCAAACCTCCGACGGCTCCAACGCCAGCGAGTTCTCGGCGCGGCCCACCCGGTTTTTCAGGCGCCGTTCTAAAAAGGGCATGACGAGTATCTACGTGGACTCGCGCCTCCGCGCGGAGGGCACGGACAGCAGCTTCTCCTTCGACATCGGTGAGAGTGTGCACATTCAATCCGGCGCCAAACTTGCGGTGTACAAGGTCCGTGTTGCCGACGCCTTCCTGAGCACGGACCGCGGGACGTTCTTGTACTGGGAGGACACGGTCGCCGGCACCCTGCATTACGCGGAGCTCCCGGTGGGGGCGTACACAGGGCCGCGATTGGCTGCGTGGATCAGCAGCAACTTCGCTTCCGCCAGCTACACCGCGGAAACGAACGAGTTGGATGTTACCTGGGATGGCGTGCGCCTCATCCTCAACGACGCGGAGCTCCGGCAGCGCTTCCCAGGCACGGCCCCCTACCCGCCGGGCGCCTCGCCCAGCAAGCCCCTGTCCATCAACCACCTCCTGGGCCCCAGCTACCTCACAGGCTCTGTGCAACGCTTCGTCTTTATGACGATGAATCCGTTCTCAGAACTGTACCTCAGGTGCCCAACACTGGCCAACGGAGAGACGACAGTGGGCCCGTTGGGGCACGACATTCTCTGCAAAATCGTCGTTTCGAAAGGTGTGGGCCACGTCATGGAGACCGAGACGTCAGAGGGGCACTGGGTTCAGCTGCACGGGCCCATAACCCTGCGTCACTTGCGCTTCAAGCTCACCGACTACCAGGGCAACATCGTAGACACTCGAGGCACCAGCATTTCCTTTGTGGTTTTTCTGGACACCGAACGATAAAAAATATCGGTTGAAAAGAAAATGGCTGAGGATGAACCTGCTCCTGTGGCCACCGAGCCCGCCGTGGCCGAGCCTCCCATGGCCGAGCCTCCCGAGCCTGCCGAGCCTGCCGCGGTGGCCGAGCCGCCGACCGAGGCTCCTCAGCAAGCGCCCCAGCCCAAACGGCGAGGGCGACCGCCAGGTTCGAAGAACAAGCCAAAGCCGCCCCCGACTGTGGCCGTGGCGGAGCTTCCGAAACCTGCGCCTGAGCGACCTTCGACTGAGCCGCCGGCACCGGCGCCCCAACAAGAGCCCCATCAAGAGCGGGAGTCCCCGTTAGAGCTCCAGGAACCTATGCTTATGACGCCCTCGCAGGCTCGCCTGGCCCGTCAGCTCTCCCGAGCCGACCGCTTCCACGAGCTCCTTCTCGCAAACAGCATGGATATCTAAAGATGATGCCCTTCCCTGAGAAGCGCAACGAGGCCGCGATGTTGCGGGCGTTTCACAAGCAGTATCCCAGCTACAACTTGACGCCGATGCTCTACAAGCGGCAGCAACAATTGATCGATGCTCGGGCCTTTCTTTCTTTCGGACGCACTGTGAGTCACAGTTAGCGATAGTCTGAGCAGGTCGTGTTGACCCGGCAGTTCGTGACTGCAACCTTCGGCTCTCAACAGGAAAACGGCCCCGCGGCGTACCGCAAAGCAAGCCTGCAGCAAAACAGGACAAGGACTAGGCCCTAACGAACCAACACAGGTAACTATTCCTACAAATGGTGGAAACATCACTCGGCTGGACTTTGCAAGCAGTCAGACCGTCGTCAGTGTAGCTAGAATCGCAAAGCAACTCATCAGAGACGCAGGATTCCATCCCTGTTGCACTCACCGCATGGTCAGAAAGCAGCATCGCCCGATAGTGGCCTGCACTTGGTGTCTCACCCAGATGGATAGTGACAGCGACCAGTTTGTATGCCCTATGAAGGATTCCCAGAGCGTCATCACAAAAGACCGGCAGAAGGACGTGACCAAGTCTGATCTTTCGAGTATTCTTCACGATTCGGGCACCAATTTGAAAACGTAGCAGCTGAAAACACACGAGTGGCGCAGCATTATGTAAGGCATACACATGATCCTGTCTGTGCCAGCCTTGAATACAAGCCTGAAGGTCCGTGCAGTCCTGTATGTGAAGCCCAACAGGTTGCGTGAGCTCACCCACAACACGAACTGAGCCATCAGGAGAGCGAGCCTGCCATGAGCCATCCAGCGCCGGCATACGAACCTTGCACAGAAGGAAATTTGCGAACTCAGATGCATCGTGCTGCTGAGAAGGCCGCGACCATCCCCGCAAAAGAGCACGCCACCCATGAACATGCTGTAGCATAACTGGTGCAAGGGCCTGCAAAAGAGTTTTGATAAAAGACGCCAGCCCACCAGTCCAAGAATCACTGAAGCAATGCGCAGCCTCCATATCACCCATGCCTGAAAGGAAAGTGCACGCCCACAAGAGACTGAAGAGCACAGCATGTTGATAGCAGACATTGTGTGGATTTAGGAGCACCAAGGAAAGGACTTGTTGTCGAGCATCTTTGACAGCTGCATGGCTGCAGGGGTACGTCGGATCCTCTCTCGACGGAGCCCCGCCCCCATAAGCGACATCGATGAGGAGCGCACCAGAAGAAGTAGTGCCTCGAAGAGAGCATTGGCCTGAGGACCTCGCAAAGAGATCTGAATCAGGAAGCCCAGGACGTCGCCCTCGTAGTTTTCGCTCATGGGCCTCTTGGCATGGAAGCGATGCAAGGTCTCCTCGTTGGCCAGCTTGCTCACCTCCGCCAAAGTGGTCAGCAGGGTTTGATGCGGAAGCGGTTTGACATCCTGATCCGGGATCTCCTTCTGCTCGTCGTTCTCGTAGTGCATGTAATTCCACGCAACTGTCCCATCCTGGCCTGTCACCACCCAGCCCATTTGGAGCATGTAATCTCGGGTCTGTTGCTTGGTCACTGCAGTCGCCGCTCTTGACTGAAATTCGGTCATGAAACATCTGAAAAGAGTAAGGCGCAGGGAAGACTTGACCTTGCCCTCCTTTTGCAAGGTCTTCCACTCGGAACTGATGTCCAGCATCGTGGCCAGGATGGATTGCTGAGCCTTGGTCCTTTGATGGAGCACAAAGCCCCTGTCCAGCCGTATCAATGCCAGATCGTCCTCGTGCCTGAGACTGATGATGGAAACCAGTCTCACCATTTGCTTCATGTTCGAATCCTCTGAGGATTGGGCCTGTCGTGACCCCTGATCTCGCCGAGACCCCTTTCTTGTATTTGATTTTCCCTGCACTTGACCCTTGCCTTTGCCGTCTGGCTTGGGGTACTTGCTGGGACGGTCCTTCTCCCCATCCTCCCGCACGCGCTTCTCGTCGTAGCTGGGCAGCAGGTGCCGGAAGAACTCCGTCTCCTGGTCTTCCACATCCATCATTCTGTACCACACCTGAATCGCGAGCCAGCTGACACGCGAGCAACGCTTGAAAGAGCACAGTGCATGATTTGGCGTGCCTGGATCGGTGCTCGGTAGCCCCAGCGCACCCGCAGAAGGCACACGGACTCACAAGCTCTGGGCCCCACTTCAACGCGGCGGCAGTGAGCATATCAAGATACCGCTTCCAGATGTCAGCATGTGTTTTCTTGATATGTTGCTTGTGGTGCCTGGGGTCGCCAATCCATTGTCGACACACTACGCAGTGCTTCAGCAAGTCATCACGCATGGCAGTATCCTGTGTGAGGCACGCAAGCCCGGTACTCAGTAGTTTTTGCACCTGCTCTGCTCTCTTGTAAAACGGAAGATCCATAGGTGTAGGCACCAGTGCTTCAGATGGCTTTCCAATCATAGCATGACACCGACCATTGCTAACATGTCGTATCAGGTTTTGCCATCCATGGAATGTCTTGTGACACATTCTACATACCGGCATGCCGTCAACTCCAAGAACATCACGAGTCAGATCGGCGGCAACCGCTGCAGCCTCCCTGTTTACCTCGGGGTGTCGATGCCCAATATGAGTTTTTAGAGCCCGCTCATTCGGGAAGTACTGGCCACAGCGCTGACAGGGCAGGCCTTCCAGCTCCGGAACTTGCACAAGCCTGACATGTGATCTCTGATCCAAAGCCGCTTGAGTGCGTATCATCCCACACGCCCATTCAGCCTGTGAAGAAATGTGTTCATCCTGCAACACGATGTGATGCTCACACGTCCGTACTGCATGTAGTCTGTTCACAAAAGCAACACTCAGCTCCAACAGAAGATCCATGGGGTCCCGTAGGCCCAATCTCGTTTGTAGCGATGTCGTAGTTTCACCCGTTAGGTGTCGTGGAGACCTGGCAATAGCACGCCAGTGTGTTGCAACCACTCCCCTGAGCTTGGCAGTTGATGCTGGTGTTACGCCAACCGTCACTAATGAATATGTCAGCGAGGTCCAGATGCATGTGAGCCACATACGAACACGGGTAGCCAAGGTCAAAACGCGACTGTGCAGAAACTTCTTGAGTCTAGTGTAGTTATCCTTGGCAACAGCAAGACGCCTCTGAAAGGTGAGATCCTCGAAGTTCGAATAGCTCAAGACGGCACCTAAGTAGGGATGAGAAGAAACCACCTGGATCGCAACGTCCTTTCCTTGTATCGGCAACGTAAGAAAAGGACCGTCTGGACCATGCTGAATCAGGTCCTTAAGGGCCTGATGCTTCTTTGAACCCGCGACTTTCAGAAGAATGGCCGATTTCTTGTAGTTGACCAAAAGATCGTACGACAAGAACAACTCAATGATGACGCTGAAACCCTTCAATGAGCGATGCACATCCGCCTGGCACTTGATGACACTCGTGGTCAGGAAGTCGTCGGCATAGGCAGTGACAGACCTCTTGCACATGTGATGGCTGGTTGACTTAGCGGCGGCGCCGCAAGGTGCACTCTGCAGTGCAGCACATTCCACACCAGCCTCCTTCGTTTCGATCGGAAGCATAAGTCTGTCGTACTCATGCATGAGAAAAACAGTCGCACAAGTCCATAGCAAGGGAGCCATTACACAACCTTGTCGAACACCACGGTCCGTCGGAATTCGTGCCGAATCACCTTTGTGATTGATATGATAGGCAGAATCACGATGCCAAGCGATGACAATATGAACAAGCTCCAAGGGAGCACCTGCAGCCATGAGCGAGGTGGCAATGAGCTGCCGAGGAAGCCTATCGAAAGCCTGACTCAAATCAAGGCTCAGCATACAACCTCCGACCAGTTCGCATTTTTGGGCACCTTGTCTTCGATGATGTACAGTTCGCAGCTGACTCGGACCTCACGACAATGCGAGAAGGCTCGCAGCAAGGCATGAGCTCCTTCTCTACGAGGAAGATACGCCATTTGAGGAGCTGTCGAGGCATATGCCAGGACAAATGGTTTCAGCCTTTGCGAGAGAATTTTGAGCACTGCCTTTCCTCCCATACACTGAAGCCCTATGGGTCTTAGAGCCTCCGGCCTCTTGATCTTCTTGGCCGATTTGACCAGCAATGTAAGCCACGCGTCCTTCCAGATCGAGGGGATATCAAGAGCTCCCGGCTGCAAAACACGACAAAGACATGCATGTAAATGAGGAGCAACAAGATCAGAGCAAGTTCGCCAGACCATTCCAGAAGCACAGTGAGCAGGAACGGCCTTCGCCATCGGGGCATGTTTCAGCGCCATTTCCACCTCCTGAACAGTGATCAAATGTTCTGACTTTCCTGCGGCGGTCTCAGGAAAACCTGTATTTTGCCCTCCATAGTGGGGGCCGCATGGAATCTCTACTAGAGACTTAAGAGGGGCCTTGTAAGGGAGGGCCAAATAGGATCTGGAAGCGACTTCTCCAGCAGGCGGATCGACCTGCACTGGCGTGGTCTGGGTGTAAAAGAGATCGGTGTAGTAGGTCCGGAGTTCCTGGAGCTCCTGTGCCGGAGAGAGAAGGTTGCCATCAGCATCCCTAATTTGTATTCGACGACGATCCTCCTTGGGCGCCAGTTGCCGAACTACAGTGTAGAGACCCTTCATGTCATGTTTCTCCACTGCAAGCGCTGCCCGATTCAGATGTTGTTCAACGCGTGCCTTGCGGACTTCCCGGCTGGCCTTTTGCACCACTTTCCTCTGCTTCCTGAAGGCCACGAAATTCTTCCAGGCATTCCAAACTCCATTTGAAGAAAATTTAAATCGCCTCCAAAGATCCCATAGTGCTCTAATGGGTTTCTGCACCGATTCGTCTTCATGAAAGCAAGGATGAGCTTTCGGGAAGGAGTCCTTCCGGCACGCCCAGGTGGAGGCCTCGAAGAGAATGCCATTGAGCTGCTCAGCATCCACCTGTGGCTTGGAGTGAAGCTCTGAAACAACCCAAGCTCGCACGCGATCACGCGCGCTAGGATCCTCGGACAGGATCTTGGAGATGGTTCTCGCGTTTGGCGAGTTCTGGTTGCGGACCTTCCATGGACGATAGTTAGCAGGGATACTGGCTACCAGAGGGCGATGTTGACCGTCAAGCTTCCAGTCACCAATAGGGAACTCTGAGAAAGGCACGCATTGTTTTGAAATGGCATCGGAGGCCTCGATGGCCGTGATGACAAAGTCAATTTGAGTTTTTGCTTGTTGCATGGCATATGTGTGCATACGAGATCGAGGTCCCTGCCATGTATTCAATGCCACCAATCCACGCTGCTTCATAAGATCCAAGACACAGTGCATGTCCTCCGCCACCTGATGTCCATCACGCATGGAGATTGCAGTGCCTACATGTGATTCATGCATCGGAAGCTGACCATTGAAGTCACCAGCAAGAAGGAGAAGATTACGCCGAGGACGAGCTTCCAGGGCCTTTGTCAGTTTACTCCAGATTTCACCACGACGCTTCATCAAATCCTTCTTTTCAGCTCTAGTATTCCAGGGGATTTGGTATATGTTAAGAAGATCAATGGCAACATCACGCAGGCTCACACGAAGCTGCAGAAGGCGTCCTGGATGAAGAACGCTGTATGCAATATGGCTCGCCTTAGCAATTTTGGTGCAAACCATACAGAGAACTCCCGCATATCTGGTTTCAGGATCACCGCTGTGTACAAAATGCCATCGAGGTGAGGACCACTCTGCATCATGGCCCCAATGTGTCTCCTGCAACATGACAATGCTGATGTGAGACTGCTCTGGCTCATCCAGCCATACAAGGAATTCGTCCAGCATACCCGTTGAAAGTCCACCTGTATTCCATGTAAAAGCAAAAAGTCTGGGCCCATGACGAGATCTCAAGCATCGAGTCGATCGGGATTGCTCAGGCTCCTGATTTGCAGGGGGAAGCCGTTGACATTCAAGGGCATTACGAGTAACCCAGCGACCTCTGTAAAAAGTCCCGCCTTTGTTTGCTGCCCTGTGAAGAGCCCTTCGGTATGCACGTTTGCGCACTCCATTGAGGGGTTCAGAACTGATTGATAAAGACCCACTGTGCTTTGCTGACCACGAAAAAGAAGCAGCTCGTACCTGGTTACTCGCAGCTCCAGATGATGCCGTGGGCGCACCATCAACCCTCACACCTCCAACACATGGTATGAAAAGAAGAAGCATGATCAGGTACCCGATAGTGTTGGACCCGGACTTGGGACCGGGCTGGCTGAGAAGAATCGATAGCCCCGAGACTCCCCAAAGCATTGAACAAAACGCGGCGTTCCAAATACCAAAAGTGAAAATACAAGCACGAATAAAATTCATGTATCTAAGAGAAAAGCACAAAAGTAGGTAATCAAAACAGCGCCGGTCGTTCATGTATTCCATGGCAACATCCGCGTTCGGAGTCTGATAGTCATTGACCATCCTTCCAGAAGAGGAATGCGACCCTTCGTCAGCTTCAAGATGCACAGGAACATTACAATCGGAGACAAAACTCTGGGCTTCAGAACTCGAGGGAGAAACAGCCGAACCGCCATGTTGCATAGCAGCGCTCGTATCACACGCGCCCTGTCCATCCACTCCACGCGGCTCATGGTTGCAGCAACACGGTCGCCAATGGCATGAGAGACACGGTGTCACGGGCGCCTCATTACCCGCCGGGAACATCTCGGACTCCGTTGTCGTCAGGGACTCGATGCGTAGTAGACGTCGTAGCTTCCTGCCGAATTCTCTCCTGGCCTGAGCATGTACATTCAAAGGAAAGATTGCATGTGTCTCAGGAAGGTCGTCCATGTCTGAGGCAGAAGAGCTACTACGTCTTGCCTCATCCAGAGTCCTGCCCTCCCAGTTGTTGTCATAGGAAGGCTCAGTGTGTGCGCCGTCCGGCGCAGATCCAAACGTATCCTCAGCCACAAGCTCCAATGGGAAGTCCAAAAAGAGAGAAGCGCTGTTGCACTCTCCAGAAACTGCAGCCAGAGAAGACGAAGAAGCCGCCTGTGTCTCTCCGGTAACCACGCCTAGAGAAGGCGAAGATTCCTCAGGTATTCCTCCAGAGATGGCATCCAGAGAAGGCAAAGGTGCTGCCTGTGTCTCTCCAGTAACTTCAGCCAGAAAAGATGAAAATGCCGTCTGGGTATCGCCAAAGACTATAGCCTGAAAAGGCGAAGATGCCGCCGGTATATCTCCATCCAGGGACAGAAAGCAAGTACATTCAGCCTGATCCTGAAAACACACTTCGCACATAGACTCGATGCATTCGCAAGGTGTTCGGAGGCATCCATAGCAAAAGTCATCAGCATCCATCTGCTGCAAAGATATTGGACCAGGGGTCACAGAAGTCTGCTCTGCATCTTGATTGACATTATCAGGCAAAGTTGAACCAGCACAGTAAGAACCAGGGTCTTGAACTTCCGGGATGTCCATGTCATATGCACAGATGCAGTTCCGCTGACAGCAGTCAGAACATGAGGTACTCGAGCACGCCTGTGCCCCATCGTCTCTCTCCAGCTCGCCAGCTTCAACGTTTGGAAAAATCGGCATCACACACAGCAAGAAAAACAACGAATGTCCATGGCGCATGTTGGCAGCTACGACTGTCACTCCCAAGAAAACCCCAAACCAAGGGAACCCCCAAGACAAGCCCCGAAAAAGACCCCGAAAGCCCCGAAGAGGGAGGGGGGGGAGAAGAAACACAGGGCAGGAGAACCCAAGGGCCACCGCTTTTGGCAGCACGTTTTGAGCCAGGGTGCTTGATGCTCGGGCCTTCAACGAGTGGCTGGCCAACCGGCGGCAGCGCCAGGAGGGCGAGGCCTACGCGGACGAGCTGGGGCGCATGACCGACGCTGTTAATAGGAGGATCCCCCAGCTGAGGTGGGCCCCCGCAGAGCGAGCAGGCGTCCGCCGCGTGGCGCGCGATGTCGCTGCCGGGCGGAACACTAGCGACTCTGGGGTTTACGGCGGCTTGATGTAAAGATGGAGGAGCGACGTGCGCACGGCTTCCGTGTCAGACCCTCCTACGGGCAGGTCCTGGGCTACATAGCTGAGGGCGAGCCCTTGCCCATCAATCTCCCGAACCGCAACGCCAGCATCCTGACTTCCTCGCATTTCTGGCTCGACGACTATCCGCAGAGCAGCGAGCCCGAGCCTGCCCCGCTGCCCCACACGACCGTGGACCCTGCAGCAGCCTACGAGGACGCCAACGAGGGCTACGATGGAGTGCCCTTCCCCCGCCGGGATTTTTTGCGCCCACGACCCTTCGACCTGGACAGCGAGTCTGATTTTGGGGCTGTGGACCCGGGCCAAGCTCTGAGAAACGACGGGCTGGAGCCGCCAGCACCGCCAAGCTTCTTGAGCCGACTGCAGCAGGCCGAGGCCGCGGCGGGAGCTGCGGCGGGACTGGCGGGCTCTGCATCTGCCATCGCGGGGCACGGACAGGACCTCTACAACGCCGCGCGCAGGGGGCGCAATTGGATCGACCGGAACCTGCGCATCCCGCGCACACCCGAGGGCCTTGCACCCCCGCCGGACGAAGTAGCTCCGCCGCAAATTATAGGCCGGCCCAGCGAAGTGGAGCCGCTTCTGGAGCGGGCGGGACAGCGAGCCCAGGAGGTGGAAAGGGCTGCGGCCCGAGACATCGAGCAGTTCATGAGCGAGCAGGTGGCCGAGGCCGAAACGACCGAAGGTTTTGCTTCCACCGCAGAAGTGGCTGCGGGGGCTGCAGAAGCGGCGGCGGCGGCGGAGGGGCCAGGAGCGTTGGCACTGTTTGGAGAGGCCGCGTTGGGCACAGCTGCGGGCATGGGAGCAGCAGCAGGAGGCCTCGCAGTGGCGGGCGGGGCAGCGGCGCTCGTGGGCACTGCGTGGGCGCTCCACGGGGGGATGGTGGCAGCAGAACACCTCCTAGGTTGGGGCGGAGGCGGAGGAACCGACACGGATGCTTCTCGCCCCAGCTCCGCGCCCGACATCCAGACCTTGAATGGCATGCAGGAGTTTGGGGCTGAGCAGCACTTCCAGCTCCAGGAGCAACGCCCGCCGCAGGCCTCACGGCGGACGCAGTTTTACCGCATGGACACCGACGGCGAATCGGAGCCGCGGGCCCAGCCGCCCCCCCGAGTGCAAGCTCGTCCCGCGAGGCCCACGCGTTTCCCCACAGGCCTGAACCCCGCTCCCTTGGCGCAATCCTCAGGCAGCGACTCCTCCCGCGGGCCTCGCATGCAGCGCCAGTCGCGCGCGGCACCGCCCCCTTCCTTCGAGGCGCTTCGCAGCGCGAGCGAGCCGGAGGCCGCATGAATCTTTCGGTAGAGTAAAACCATGGAGCAAGTGACTGCTGCCGTGAACGACGAGCTCGTTCAGAGCCTCGACTACAAGCTCGCGACCTCAAACGTCAACTACGTGCTCTCTCGAGCGGACGTGACCTACCATCCATCGTCCCTCAGCGTCTTCACGCCCACGACATCGAGGGTGTGTCGCATTCCGTTGACAACAGCTTCTTCGTTCATCGATCCCGACAGCGTCAAGATCGGCTTCACGGTGCGGAACAACAGCACCACGGGCACGCTGTTGCTCTCCTCGCCGGATCCCAGCTGTTTGGTGGACAGGGTAGAGGTCTTTGCCAACGGGACTCGCATTGAGGACATCAACTATTACAATCGCTGCAGCTACCTCTACAGCCTGCTGAAGAACGAGGAGTGGTGGCTGAATCGTCACATCCAAGGCTTCCTCGCGGACGCCGGGGGCAACGCCGAGCCCATCGCGGCCGAGGGCTCCCGGCATGTCCTCTTTCCTCCTCATCTCGTAGGAATATTCAACGCGGGCAAGATGTTGCCCCCAGAGCTCAACCTTGTCCTACAGATTACCTTCGCCGACCCAAATGATGGAGCCCGCGGCGTCAGCGCAAGCAAGGACTACACCATCGAGAACGTGAAGGTGTACGCTTCTCAGGCTCAACTCGATTCCAGTTTGTACTCCTCGTTCCAGAGAATCATGACCAGCGGACGCAGTTTGGTGTTCAGCTTCCCGACCATGCACACGCAGCTCTCCAGCATTCCCGCCGGGAGCACGAGTTATAACATCACAACAGCACGTGCTTGGACGAAATTCATGGGGGCTTTCGTGACTTTCAACAAAACCACGAACGACCACGTGAACAATTTCGAGTACGCAGGCAACAACGACAACCGCGACCTGAAGAGCCAGATGCAGCTCGGAAGTCTCCAATATCCCCGGACGGCGAACGAGAGCATTGCCGAGCATCATCATTATTTGGAAATTCTTGCAGGGACGATAGATAGCAAGGTCCGCAACATGCGAATTAGGGGCAACTTGTACGGGAACAACCAGTTCGTTGCAGCCTTCCCGACCGAGCGTGTGCCGGGCCACGCACTGTCTGCCGTGAGCACCAGATCCGGTGACCTTTGCCGCTTCTCTTTCAGCAATATGCTGCCGGACCGAGTGGACCAGTGCTTCGTGCACCAAATTTCATACCAGCTCGTAACGTTGTCGGGCGCTGGGGTCAGTTCCCTCGACTAGTAAATGAGTCTTTTCGAGTCGACCATCACCGGCAACATACTCAACGATGGCCAGACCCCCATCGCCACCATCGAGATGCAGGGCATCTCCGCGGGGCAGCTCGCCACGGTCCTCACGGCCTACACGCCCCTCACGGACACGACCGCCAACACCGCCTCCATCGGCACCAACTCGGCCGCCGTGGCCGCGCTGCAGACGCAGGTGGCGGCCATCCCCGCGCCGCCCGACCTGACGCCCTACGCTTTGGCGGCGGACCTCGCAGCAGCCGAGGGTCTCATCGCTGCCAACCAGTCCTCCATCACCAGCCTGAGCACCAGCCTCACCACGGGGTTGGCGGGGAAGGCGAACCAGTCGGCCTTGGACGCCCTGCAGCTGGACGTGAATGGCAAGAGCACGCCCGCCTCCGTGGACCTGAAGCTCGCGAACCATCCGACCAACGCCGCGATGAACAGTGCGATCACCTCGGCCAACAACGCCACGCTGGCCACGGTGGCGGCCAACTACGGGCTCAAGAGCACACAGGATCAGCAGGCCCTCGACATCGCGGCCCGGCAGACGGCCGCGGACGTCTCCCAGGCCATCGCCACTGCACTCCTCCCGTACACCGACACCAGCGGCCTGAACAGCGCGGTGGCCCTGCGCACCACGCCCGCGGACGTGGACCAGAAGATCGCCACCGCCCTGCTGCCCATGGTGGCCCAGACTGCGCTGGACGCCGCACTGGCCCTCCGCGACGGGAGGCTCGACGCCGCCGAGGCGGTCCTGGCGACGCTTGGCTTCCAGTCGGCTGCCGACGTTGCGGCGGCGCTCGCCACGGCCCTCGCGGCCTACACTGACACTGCGGGGCTCAACGCCCTCCTGGCCGTGCGGGACGCACGCCTGGACGGGCACGACGCCGACATCCTGGTCCTGCAGGGAGCGGGCCCCTTCGTCACGGCCGCGGACCTCTCGGCCTCCGAGGCAAGCTTGCAGAGCGCCATCGACGCGCTCAACTCCGCGCTGGCCGCGCTGACCACGGGCGGCGGCACGAACCTCGCCAACGCCCAGGCGTGGCCCGGGCAGACGACCTGGGACCTCCTGGTCGGAACGAACACGATTAGGAACTGGCACTTCAACGCTCCCCTGAGTGTCACCCTCGAGAACGACAACTTCACGCTGAGCCTAGCCTGCGATGCGTACACGCAGGCGGAGGTCACCGCCCTGCTGGCGCCCCTGGCCAGCGAGTCCTGGGTGCTTGCCACCCTCGGATCCTATTACGACTCCAGCGAAACCAATGGAGCCATCACATCAGCTCTGGCGGCTTACTACGACAGCACACAAACGGACGCCGCGATTGCTGCGGCCGTGGGCGGCATCGACTTGAGTGCATACGTGCCGTGGACCGGGCTTCAGGCGCCCATCCTGAACGAGATCGCTATAGCGCTCGCATCCTACTACGACTCCGCGCAAGTGGACGCCCTCATTACGGGCGCAGCTGTTTCCAATGCGCCCGCCTGGAGCGGGAACATCACCTGGGAGCTGCTGACGGGGCAGGCCCTGCGGAACCTGCACTTCACCGGGCCCCTGCTGGCCAGCCTCCAGAACTCGGGCAACACGCTGCAGATCGAGTGCCAGGCCTACGACCAGAGCCAGACGTACACGCAGGCCGAGGTAAACACCCAAATCTCGAACGCCGTCGACGCCCTGAACGTATCGCAGTACGCCACGCAGGCCGACATCGACAGCTCTATTGCTTCGGAGCTCACCAACTACTGGGACCAGGGCGAAACCTCGGCGGAGATCGCCAGCCAGATCAGCTCCTCTGGGCTCCTCACCGAAGCGCAGGGCGATGCACGGTATCATCCCGTCAACGGCAACGCCGGAGGCGGAGGCATCATCCCTATGGTCCTCGACAACTTTACGCCCAGAATGATAAGGGCGCTGCTGCCCCAGGCACCCCTGGGAGCGAACCTGATCCTGGGCAACTCCGCCACGGTGCAGCTTACGTGTGACTGCTACAGCAAAAGCGAAAGTGATGGGAGGTACTTCTCCAACAGCGACTTCACGCCCCTGGACTCCAGGTACCATGTGGTCAACGGCAACGCGGGGGGTGGGGGCATCATTCCTATGGTGCTCGACAACTTCACACCAAGAATGATAAGGGCGCTGCTGCCCCAGGCACCCCTGGGAGCGAACCTGATCCTGGGCAACTCCGCCACGGTGCAGCTTACGTGTGACTGCTACAGCAAGGCCGAAAGCGACGCCCGCTATGCGCTGGCGGGCGCGCCGCCCTCGGATCCCCTGCTGGTCAATGACGTGAGGGCCAACGGAGCGGATTTCTTGACGCTGCGGGGCGGCAACCTGGGCATCGAGTTCGAGGCTTCCAACGGGGCCGCCGTGGCCGACCTGTCCTCGAGCCAGTTCAGCCTCAAGACGGGCGTCAACATGCTGACCATGGGCCGCATCTTCGCAGACAGTAGCCTGGGCATCGCCACGGCCGGCAGCATCCAGGCGGATACGCTGGAGCCCCTGCTTCCGACCAATCAGTTCCTCAACCTGAAGTCGGGCACCGTGTCCGTCAGGGTCACGGACCAATCAGACCAGAGCCTCTGCACCTTCGCCACATCGGAGGTGCACACGGTGGCCCCGAGGCTGCGAGTGGACACAGAGCTCTACATCGACGACGCCGCGGGCACGGCCACGGGGCTCGTCACCAATGCGATCTCCACGCGCGCCCAGGACACGGAGCTCACTATCACTGGCGGCTCGGGAGGCACTGTCGTCAACGGGGCGCTGGACGTGTTGGGCACGCTGACCTCAGGGAGCGTGGAGCTGTCCACGGAGCTGCGGGCGCCTACGCTGCGGGCCCGAGCCACCGACGATTATTTGACCCTTACGGGCGGCACGCAGGGGACCTACCTCAACTCCGTGCTCTACACCGCCAGCGCCATCCGCGCAGACAACGGCATCGTCTCGAGCCCCGCGTACCTGGAGCTCATTGGCGGCAGCACGGGGGTGCAGGCACAAGGAGATTTGCAGGTTGTGTCCACAGTCAACAGCGGCAACGTCACGGCGGAGGTGCTAAACCTCGCGACTGCGGGCAATGCGCGGCTCCTGGTGGCCTGCAACGCGGGCTCAGGGGAGCTCTCCGCCTCTTCTGCGGGGGGCGTGCAGCTCTACGCCCAGGACCAGGCCATCTTCCTGCGCACGGCGGCGACCGGGCCGGCCAACCTGATTGTGGAATCGAACACGGGCGGGGCCAACGATGGGGAAGTGATCGTGAATTACGGGTTCCAAAATCTCTCGGACGAGAAGCTGAAGCACAGCGTGGAGTCCGCGGGGCTCGAGGAGCTGCAGCAGCTCTTCGACGCCGTGGCACCCAAGTGGTACCAGCGGACCGAGGGGAGCCAGAAGCGTACGTTGGGTTTCATCGCTAACGAGGTGCTGGAGACGGGGCCCGTGGGCCAGGCCCTGTGCGGCAAGCTTGTGGACGAAGAGCTCGGGGAGCTCGTTACGCTCGACTATAACCGCATGTGCTGCGTTTTGTGGGGAGTCTGCCAGGGGCTCCAGGCTCGCGTGGAGGCGCTGGAGAAGGGCAAAAAGCGGGGGCGCTCGTGAGTTCTTTTTCATAGTTTTCATGCGATATAAATGAGCTCCGAGCTGTCAGCTGCTTGCGAAGGCGTCATGCAAAATCCTTCTGAGGAAAATCTAGTTCGGCTGCTGGATTGTTGGTCGCCGGAATGGAAGCATCGTGGGCGTCAACGAGGCATTGGCTCGGGATCATATGAGATTTACTGCACCCTGGGGCTTTACGCTTTTGGAGGCAATGCTCCCAGCATGTCAAAAGCTTCCGACGCGAAAGAAGCATGCATCGCGCTTAATCACTTCTTGCGCGATCGCATTCCGGATGGAAAATGGACCTCCCTCGCGGTTATTCTGAACCCAAGCATCGGGCTTCACCGAGACATGGGAAATATGATCGGCATGCCGAACTACGCGATCGCGGTCGGACGATACACGGGAGGCAGAGTTTGGGTCGAAGATGACGAAGGCACTTCGCTTGATGAGGTGGTGATGAAAAAGAAAATGCATCGGCTTCGAGGCTGCTGGATCGACATGCACAACTGCTCAGTGTCGTTCAACGCCCGTCGATTCCATAAAGTCGAACCTCATGAAGGGCATATGTGGGCGATTGCAGCGTACACTCCCACGGCTTTTAGACGATGCTCCGATGAAAACCGCAAAGAATTGGCATGTTTGAATTTCCCTGTACCAGAAAGTGCCAACACAGATTGACGAGTTGCCCTGCACAGCTGCCCTGCCACTGCTGCCCTGCCACTGCTGCCCTACCACCCCCACTCTGCACTGCTGCCCTGCACTGCCGCCCTGCCTCCGCCCTGCCGCTACTGCCCTGCCACTGCTATTCCGCCTAAGCTGCCCTGCCACTGCTGCCCTGCCACTGCCCTGCCACTGCTGCCCTGCCACTGCTGCCTGCCAGCCCGGAATCAAACCGAGTGAGCCCCGGAATCAAACCGAGTGGCGACCTAGTGGCGACCCTGTGGCGACCCTGTGGCGACCCTGTGGCGACCCTGTGGCGACCCTGTGGCGACCCTGTGGCGACCTGTGTGCTCTCCAACTGCTGCCCCTGCTGCCCTGCCACTCCGCCACACTGCTGCCCTGCCACTGCTGCCCTTGCCACCCTGCCCGCTCCGCACTGCTGCTCCCATTGCACTCTGCCACTGCCTGCCCGCTCCGTGCTGCTGCCATGCCACTCTGCCACTGCTGCCCGCTCCGCACTGCTGCTGCCATGCAACTGCTGCTCTTGCCACCCTGCCCGCTCCGCACTGCTGCCATGCCTCTGCCACTGCTGCTCTGCCTCCGCCCTGCTGCTGTGACCCTCTGCCACTCCGCCCTGCTGCTCTGCCATTCCGCTACTATTCCGCCCTGCCGCCACTGCTGCCCTGCTGCCCTGCCACTGCTGCCCTGCCGGAATCAAACCGAGTGAGCCCCGGAATCAAACCGAGCGAACTCCGGAATCAGTGGCGACCGTGTGGCGACCCTGTGGCGACCCAGTGGCGACCTGTGGCGACCTTGTGGCGACTCTACCTTGCCACAGCTGCCCTGCCACCTTTGCAGCCCCTCTGCCACTCTGCTGCTGCTGCTCTGCCACTCCGCCCTGCTGCCCTATCACTGCTGCTGCCCTGCCACTCCGCCCTGCTGCCCTGCCACTGCTGCCCTGCCACTCCGCCACACCGCTGCCCTGCCACTGCTGCCCTGCCCTCCACCCTGCTGCCCTGCCACTGCTGCCACTCCGCTCTGCTGCCCTGCCACTGCTGCCCTGCATTGTTGTGTCATTATTGAATCATTTTGAGTCATGATTGAGTCATCTTGAATCATTATTGAGTCATTATTGAGTCATTATTGAATCATTAATGGGCCGTTTTTTGACAAGAAGGGACTGGTTTTGCAGCGAAGTTGAGCGTTTTTTTCCGCTTTAAAACCTTTCTCCCTGCAGACTTACTCAGGTTGAGGTACTGTTTTGGAGCCAAGTTGAGCGTTTTCCACCAAAAATACATGCGCTGCGATTCTGCTCCGGTCGAAGAAAGCGTTTTTTTTTTGAGCGTTTTGGCTTAAAAAACCATAAGCCTGCTCGGGTCGAAGGTGCTGTTTTTGGAGCCATGTTGAGCGCTTTTTTCAGCAATGAACACCTTCTCCTTGCTCAGGTTGAAGGTCCTGTTTTGGAGCCAAGTTGAGCGTTTTTTTTTCAGCAATGGACACCTTCTCACACCTCTCTCACTCAAAAGAGCCATTTTGGAGCGTTTTGGAGCGCTTTTTTGGCTCAAAAAAAACCCCCCCCATAAGCCTACTTTCTATATTATTGTGTGTCACTTCCGTTGTCCTGCATGGCCCACACCTTCCCCCAAGGAGCCGTGAGCTCAAAGTTTCTTGGCATCGTTGGTGATGAAGCTCATCGAGGATGCTTCATTTTGCAAGTCGCATTATGAGGGGCACCTGCCCATCCACCTTCACTGGGCCTCCTGCAGGTTTCTGGGCAGCTTTCTGTTTCAGGTTGCATTGCCAGCCTCTGCACACTTCGGTAGCGACACGGGGATACGGTACCAGGTCCATTTTTGCAATCCCCTTTGAGGCAACACCCAAGCTAGCTTTCTGTCGCGTTTGCGTGATGTCCTGCATCAGTGTCAGTGCTCCTGAGATCGATCTTCGCCAGCCTCACAGGTTCGGGTTTTCTGCCCTGTGGTAGAAGTCTCCACAGAGGGGGTAGTCAAACCTGCAGCTATTCCATCTCAGGGGTTGGATTCTAGGAGGTTCTGGTTGGCCTTCTGAGTTTATGCAGAGCATGCAGTACATGATGGTGAGATGTGGTGATCGCAGGAGCCAGGCAATCGCCCCATGCCAGCACCTGGCTGTCGCCTTGTGAGAGGTCTCACAGCACTTGTCTCTCCCACAACTCCCACCTATTGGACCGAAATCTAGATTAGCAGCTACCAAGGGAACCGATCCCTGAATTGCCCTCAGTACCCAAGGCGCACGCCGCGCGCCCTTTGTTGTCCCACTGGGATGACCCTGGAGCGATGGAAGAAGGATTCCCCGATGTCAGTGTAAGAACCAGAGTCTGCCAAAGTCCGCAGTTGACTCACGAGCCCCTTTCATTCGCTGCGCCTCTGCGTTGGCAAGGGGGCTGGATGGTAAGGACGCGCTCGCCCAGATCTCACCCGCATCTTCCCAGCACATGCTGCAGAAGAGCCTCAGCAACCAGCGTGAAACGCCTTCAGTTAATGACGACTTGGGCCTGCAGGAGGCTCCGCAAAAAGGGAGTTTCTCTCATATCCAGGAGTAATGGAACCCGAATATAGACCCCCAAGTAGGATACCCTTATATTCATGACCCCAATAAGGTACCCCCATTTTCGAACACCCCCCCCCCATATTCAGGAGAAAGGTTTAGGTGCTTGGGGCTTTTATGGTGTGCTTGTCGATGGTTGCAGAGACCCACAGCCCTACATTGGAACCAATCTTTCGCTTGTCTTGAACACGTGGTCTTCCCGGAATACAAGTACCTTTTCTGGGATCCGGCTATGATGAAAACGACCATGTTGAGAGAGTCGAATTGGATGCTGTTTTTGGGGGAACATCCGAATGAAGAAGTCATCTCGTCTTAGCGTCGGGAATGAGATTTCCCTGCCCCCCCGAATATGAAAGACCCACCAAGCAATATGATCTTCTGTAGTATTTGTGCTATGTGCTAACACACTGTAATCTGTTTTCATACATTCTGCACTATACTACCGTATGCTAAGACAACGCGATGGTGTACTCGAATCCTACGGTGTGCTGTAAGGTACTGTAAGGTCTCCGAAAGCTGCCAAACTCCGAACCTCCAAAGACGGACTGGGGAGTGCAACAGGGGCCAGCAGCGAAATTCTGAAAGACTGATCTGCTTCTAGAGAATTTCAAACACGCCAGGTATTTCTTGGGACGTCTTTCGCATGCAACGCGAGGCAGTGCACGCGTAGTGATTTCGGGGTCAAGATGAGTTTAGCAAGCAGGAAAACGCAGCAACTTGCGAGCAGGAGGTACTTGAGCCTAAAGGTGACAGACGTTCAGGCGGGCATGTCTCGGTTAAGGTGTTGCGGTTCTAGCTCAGACTGGACTCGAAGCTCATGGGATCTGGTGCGACTTCTCGCCGTCAAACAAACCAGCGCTGGTAAACTGGCTTGGTGGCGTGCACGATTCCGCCTGCTGGGTGCTAGGGGCATGCCCTTCAGGTTGTGGATTTGAGCCCTTGACAGCTACTTGTAGCATGAACCGTGATCGATACAACTAGATGCATAGGTACAACAAATAGCCAGGAGCAGCTTGAGGAACCCCATGTGTTGTCACGTCATGGCGGCCAAAAAAGGTCTCCGGTGGCCCCTGAAATTTTTCCAAGCAGCTCCTGCAGCCCTGGTGGGCCCAAGCAATGGATTGTTTTAGGCCTCAGCCATCGAATCGTCACCTTTCTTTCGAGTTGAAATTGAAATCGGAAGGGAGAAAACACAGGAGACGTGGAAGACAGGAGAGGCGTGGACATCTTCCATGAGACCAGTACAAGCAGCCACCACTTTGCAGCGATATCAACACGTTGACCTCTTGCTATTTGAGCCTCTCTGCTCTGAACCAAAGGTCTAGTGCTTGTTCAGGGGAACTCAGGGGGGGCGATGTGGAGGGTTTTTGCAAATGCAAGGTTTTTGAGGCAGATATGTTTTGCGTGTGGTTGCAGTCGGCTGAAGTGAGAAATCGTCGATTCAGAAGTCCCTGATCTTGTTGCATTGAGACAGTTGCTTCGGTACGTAGAGCCTTGCTTTGGTGGGGGCGGCAGTACAGCCACGACAGAACTGTACCATTTTAAACCACAAGCTTGGGTAAAGTAGAAGTAGACCATGAGCATCCATGAACTTCCATGAGTTTACGAAGATAAGTCCGAACCGCATGCTTTCCGATGGCGATGGCACCTGTCCGTAGCAAGCCTGCAGGCGCTTGCACGATGAGCAGTGCACGTGTTGGGCCCATGAGACTACCTTTCCTGCTGCAGGTTTTGTCAAACATTCTCCAGCACTTGACCAAGGAGTCGTTCAAGCTGGTCAGCTGATGGAGGCCTGATTCACGGAACCGACCCCAAAACCCCAAGCTCTGACCCCCTGAGCCGCCCTGAGCCGCCCCGAGACGCCCGGAGCCGCCCAGCTGCCCTTGCCGCTCTCGCCTGGACACCTGACACGTAGTCTTTGTTGCGAAAGTTGTTGAGGGTCGGTACTGCAGCCGAAGGCTTCACAGGCGTTTTGAGCCGGATTCGGTCTGGGGGTGAGTCGATTTGTGAGGCGAGAATGGTGAGCACAGAATCAACATGCTGCCTTCTCATCATGTTGCCATCGTTTGCCAGGTTGGTTTGCTGGTGAGGCCTTGACAGCTCAGATCTGCTGCCGGATCCTAGGCCTCTCGCCGCCTAGGAGCGCGAAGACACCCAGAAGTCGAAGCTCTTAACCCCGAAGCCCTATCCGAACCGTGCATGTGCCTCTCTCGCGCACGGTTTCTTGAACCCTCCCTGATCCCTTTCCCAATCGTGAGCTCTGACAAAGTCCGAGCGCAGCGCATACTCTGAAGTGGCAAATGGCTCGGGGAACGACGAGAGTCTCTGGCCGTGACTTGCCGTGGCTCTGCGTGTCTCGAAGCCGTGCACTTGTGGCCCTGAGTGCGTCAGAGCGCGCTCAGCAACCTGCTCTGCATGCTCTGCTCCCTTGCTCAGCCTCATCAGGTTCATGCTTCTGGTTTGGAAGTTAGATTTTCGAGCTTAGACAAGCCAGGGTCGTGCGATGAAACGCATGTGCCCGGCAAATGTTTGTCCTGCTGGGTGAGTGCATGCTGCTGGTCGAGTAGCTGCCACATCCGACTGAGCAGGTCTTGCCGGTCGTGCTGTGGAGGCTGCGCTTTTGGGCCTCCCGGCCCAGATCTCCACCCTCGGGGTGGTATGTGATGGCCATATGGCTGATGTTTGCCTCATTCCTGGATGTGCCGGTTTGGAACAAAAAGCTAGTCACAGCATCTTCTACAGGGTTTGCCTGAGACTACACATGCAGGCGAGTCAGCGTGAGCGATGCCCTCTCACACGTACCCACAGACAGGTTGCACTGGCCACTGGCCAGTTCCTGCCAGGTCAGCCTCATGGCGCATCCTGCAACAGCGATTGTGTATTTCTCTCTCGGAGATTCTGCAGGCTTTGGCCCAAGAGAAGCCAGGGTCGTGCGATAAAACGCAGTTTCTGGCAAGAGGTTTGTCGTGAGTGGTTGCCACACCCGACTGAGCCGGTCTTGCCGGTCGTGCTTGAATGGCTGCACTTTTGGGCCTCCTGGCCCAGATCTCCACCCGCGGGGCT